CTCCGCGCCGACGCCGCCCTCAGCAGCGGCGCCGCTGTCCCTGGCGCTCTCGGCGCCGACCTGAGCGGACGGCGCGGCGTCGCCAGCCGACGCGGCTGCCCTCGCGTCCGCGACGTTGCGGCTTTGCTGCCCCGCCTCGGCCTGCGTTAGCACCTGGTACGCCCAGAACAGACAACACTGCGCCCTCCTCTGCACGTCCTCCTGCAGCGAACTCGGCCATCGCCCGGGCGGATGGGGGCCGCTCGAGTCGACCGAAAGCTGCCCGCCTGACCGGGTAGCCAAGCCCAGGCGGCAGCGTGGGCGCATGCGGCCTGCGGCAAGCCCACGCTCGCGGCATTCCGCCATGAAGGCGGGGCGCCCCCTGGGCGCCCTTCTGTTCGATGCTTCGCCAGCTCCGCTAGCGAGACTGCGTCCGCGATCGCCTAGGTCACCATGGCGCGACGGCGCGCCGAGCGCACAGCAGCGCGAAGCTGCCGCCGCACCTCAGCATCACCCTCCGATGTAGATGCGAGCCCGAGCCCGCACTCCTCGATGTAGATCCCCAGCGGGAATCGGACTCAACGTACACCGCGTCGTCCACCCCCATCCTGGCCCCCATGCTGCCCGTCGCCGCCTGGAGATCGACGGGCCGCGTCTCGACCCCAGGGTCGCCCCCCACAGGGGTCGAGCGCAACACGTGCGTGGCGCCCGCGTCGGTGAACAGCATCCGCTTGCCGCCAACTTCCGCTATGAGTGCCACGGCCACCGCCGCGCGCGGGCCTGCCGCAGGAGCCGTCGATGTGGCCCACCCGCCCAGCCGCCCAGGGTCCGCGTCCACGGGAGCGACGGCCAGCGGTGCGCCCGGCGACCTCTCGCCTGCCAGAGCCTTGATCGTCGCTGCCACCCCGTTTCCGGGCTGACCCGCCTGCGCCGCAGGCTGCGTCTGCGCGCCAGCGCCGCCTGGGTCCAAAACCCAAGCGGAACCACCCCCAGGTTTCACGGCAATCTCTGCTGCCTTGGCTGCCGCCTCGCGCTTCGGGCGCGTGCAGGCGTCTGTGGGGCGCCCCTTGCGTCCGCAATTGAAGCATTTTTTCGCTGGTTTGCAGCTGGCGGTGCGGCCACGTGCGCGCGCCGCCCTGCTAGTAGCCAGCATCGGACTCGAAGAACTTGCAGGACTTCGACTGCTCCGAATCATGGCCCTTGTCTTTGCCCTTGGTCTGCCCTCCTCCATGGGGCGCGCCAGCCTCGGCCTTGGGGCCGGGCTTCTGTGGCTGGCCTCCGCCCTTGCCTGGGCCCTTGAGGAAGGCAGTCTGGGCCTCGAGCGTCGCGACCTTCACCTGCGCCTGCTTGCCCAGCTGCCGGGTCTGCCGCGGCTGCTGTTGCTGCTGCCGCTGCTTCGCGCCGTCGGTGGAGACCTCGCGGGCCTCGCCGGCCAGGAAGCGCCAGAACTCGTCGATCTGGGACTGGCTGCAGCTCGCAGTGCCGCTGAGGCCCTGCACGAGCTGCTAGAGTCATCGTGGGCCTCAGCCATCTTGCTCACCAACGTGCGCAGCGTGGTTAACTGAATAGTGGGGTCGTGTGCGACAGCCCCAAGGCGTTGCAGCCGGGTGAGGTCACACATCCACCGCTGCAGCTCGACGTACACCTCCCCGCGGGCTGGGGCAGCCAGATTTCCACGGCGCCCCACTGCCTTCAATGTGGCAGATCTATCCCGTAGGGTGCCCGGGCCCGCCTCGACGCACACCGCGAAGACGAGCTCGCTGCAGCTCAACTGCCTGGTGGCGGACGCCTGGGTCTTGATGGGCTCGGGCATCGCCTGGAGCAGGTAGGGCCGGCATTTGTATTCCAGCTGCTTCTGGGCTCCGGCCTCTGCCCACGACGTCTGCGGGCAAATGCGCGGCCATTGCAGCGGATCCACGTGCAAGTGCTCGTCGTACGATGCGTCCACGGCTGCGCGCAGGTTGCGCCGCCAAGCTTCGACCTGCGGGTGCACCGACGCATAGTGGAGGGTGCTCGTCTGCAGCCATTCCTCAAACTTGGCCGCCCTGCCCCCTCCTGCCCAAGATAGTTCGGGCACCTCGCCCCCTTTCGAGCGGCTCAAGATCGCAGCCAGAACTGCTGCATCGGCAGGCCCCCCTGCGCCAGCACAGTCACCGGCAGCCGTCGCGGCGCCGAACGGCGGTGGCGGCGGAGGCCCGCCGGCGCCGCGCAGCCCGAGTCCGCCGAACTGCGGTGGCGCGGCCGCCGCTGCTGGGGCACCAGGGGTGGCCCAGTGCTGGTGGGGCTGCTGGGGCTGCTGACCTCCTCCACCTGGGGCTCCTGGTATTCCTTTTCCTGCTGCTCCTTGCATTCCCCCTTCTGGCGCAGCGCCGAGCCCAGACGCGAGGGCGGCCTCAGATGCGAAGCTCGCGCCGCCAGCAGAAAAACTGCCAGCACCGCCCGCGGCGCTCGGGACGGGTTGCGCCATGGCCCAGTGAAGGCCCCCGGCGTTGATCTCGCCCGCCTGCTCTCCGCTCGCTCTCCCTGCCACTCCTCCTGCCGTTCCCCCCTGCGCTCTGCTGCGCCTCGGTCGCGGCCGCGACCTCCGCCTCGACGCCGTCGAATGGCGTTTGGGCCGCGGCTGGGTCGCCGAGGGCCGCGGCGAGATGGGCTGCCGCAGCATCGGCACCCTCCTGGTCGACCTCAGCGGCCGCAGCCGCGCTCGTCGGCTGCGGAATCGTCGCGGCTGGTTGACCCGCTGCGCTGCTCGCGCTTGGGGTCGCGCGGCCGCCGCCCCCAGACTGTTGCGTCTCGAATTTATCGCGGCGCTGCGCGCTCTCCGCGCGGAGCCTGACCAGCTCCGCCTCCATGGCCGTCATCCTCTCGGCCATGTCAGTGTCGAACTGCTGCCCTAAAGGAAAGCAGCGCCATCCGCGGGCTGCAGTGCAGGCAGCACGCGTGGGCGGGCAGATCCTGGGATCTCGGCCACGCCGCCCGTGGTCTGCCTCGCGCCAGCCAGCGCTCTCCTGGCGAGTCGAGCGGCTCCGACCTCACGCCCGAAGGCGGTCGCATCGACGATCTGGCCGGCCAGCTGCCCGCCAGAAGCCAGCGCGCGGCCGAACTGCTCCGCGCCGCGCTGGATCATCGCGGGGCGCCTCGCGGCCGCGAAGGCGCCCCGCTCCGCGATGCAGCTCGCGCAGACAGGGCCCCGGCCGAACACCTGCATGCAGTGGGCGCGCACAACCCCGCCGCAGTTGTCGCGCTGCACGGCGGCCCCCACGACGCAGTCGAAGCAGGCGGCAAACTGGCGCACTTGCGCCCCCAACTGCGCGCCGTGGATCGCGGCAGCGTTTGGGCTCATAACTCTTTGCATGGCTGTGCTCTCGACGCGCCCCGCGAACGAGTCCCTGGTTGGATCTATTAAGTCTGCATGTGACGGGGGTGGCGGGCGGCGTCAGTTTTCAGAGCATGCCCAAAAAGGGAGAAACCCAAAACTACGTTGTCTTTCTGGCTCGGCGCGACTTGAAACGTTGGGCTCAACCTATAACGCTAAAACCATGGTTAGGCAATCAAGAATGACGTCCTTTTCGGCCTGACCAAGGCAATTCCAGTATTACATCACAGCGAACGACCAATATGGCATTGCAGGGCGCGTTGCGTTTTCCCTCGGAATGCCCGCGCGCGCACTTCGCGACAATAGTTCGCGCGGCGCAGTGATCACAACGGCGCCGAATGCAACGGCTCAGTTGGGCGGTCGTCACCGCGGCCTTGTGGAATGTTGTTGGTGCTTGCAGCATGCTGAAAAGGACGTCGCGTGGACATCCGAAACGCATGCACCCAGAAACCAAGCGTCGGTGATTCAGGGCAGCGTGTAGCCCCGAAAATATACGACGCCAGGCCCACCACAACAAAATGGAACCGCGGCGCCCCAGCGGCAAAGTCAAGCCCCCATGCGGCGCAGGGGCCCATCAGGGCACCGCGGCAACGACCCGAACACTTCGCAATCCAACCCGCGCGCCAAACATGCCTACAGGCAATGTGGCCACGGGCTCTCGGGCAGAAGGCTTGAGCCAAAATGGCATTAGAAGGGGCGCGAGGAGCAGGAGGGAAAGGGGGGCGGAGGAGGAGGAGGAAAACAACGCCCAGGAGTAGAGGAAAGGGGGAGGGAAAGGAGGAGGACGGGGACGGGGGGAGGCAGGGAAGGTCAGGGGGACGCTGGAAAGTGAGCAAAAAGGGATAAGGGAGCGCAGAGGAAACTGGACAGGGGCTTGGAGAGAAAGCGAGGGGGGAGGCTCCCTCTCCGTCGACACGCCGGGGGCCTGAGACATTCAGGCAGGCGCGGACCGTCGACGACGCCGAGGCCGCCCTCGAGGCCCCGGCCTCCAGGGGGGGGAGGAGGGATCGCAGAGCACGAAGGACGCGGGGGAGACGAGGGAAGGAGGGATGAGGGGCGAGGGAAGGAGGGGGGCGAGGCAAGGGAAGGAGGGAGTGCACGAGGGGGCCAGGGACGGGGGGGAGAGAGGAAGGGGAGGAGGGAAAGAGGGAGGGAGAGAAAATAGAGGAGGTAGAGAAGACACGGGGAGAGAAGGATGCGCGGAAGGAAGGGGGCAATGGGGGTGGGGGAAAGGCGCGAGGGAGACTACGAAAATGAAACGGGGAGGGACGACCATGCATGGACGAAGTACCTGTTCATCGCATTTGCTCAACGTCGCACGCTGCCTCCCGCTTCGCCGCGGACGCACTGCGCTGAAGCGCGAACGAGCACGCGCCGCAGTGGTGGCCCCCCTGCCGCAGCCGAGAGCTAAGGCGCCTGGCGGCGCAATCAGATGTCAGTAGTAGTGGTGTGTCTGTGGTGTTATCCTCCTCCTCCTCCTCCTCCTCCTGTTCCTCCTCCTCCTCCTCCTTCTCCTCCTCCTCCTCCTGGTCCTCCTCCTCCTCCTCCTCCTCTCCCTCCTCTGAGCCTCCTCTCCCCACCCCCTCCCATCTCGATTGCTGGTCGACTGCCCCGAGCCCCCGAGACGCAGAAACCAAGGGGGCCCGCATTAAGTGCTCTTCGGCACCTTGCTTTGAGCCTTGAGACTGGCCCCAACGGACAACCCGCGCTTCCGCCCGCCAGGGTGGCCGGAGCTCGAGTCATCCAAGGTGTACTGGAGAAGAGCCTCGCGCCAAGCACAGAGCCGAGTCTGCGACAGCTGCGGCCAATGTGCCAGCATCGCCGCCACGGTGCGCAGGACGCGCTTCCCCTCCCCCTCCCAGGAAGGCCAGCAAGACCAGCGGTATCCCGAGGTCGCCGCCGGCCGAAAAGTTAAAAAGATGAAGCCTGCCGGCAGAACTGCCATTTCACCGGCTTTCACAAGGCGCCCCCAACCGCCGACTGCCTTGGTATGGGCCAACAACTGGGCCCCGGTCATTGCTTTGATGGACGCATGCTGCTCGCCCAGGGCGCCCCCCTCAGGCAAGAGGAACCCGATGATCATCTCGGCCCCCTCGTCGAGCAAGTGCACCTCCGCGCAATCGAAGGGGCTCGGGCCGATGTTGAAATGCCCAGCTGCGCACTGGATAGCCTGGATGCCAAGGACGTCCTTCTTCGCTAGCTCCTGGATCTTTTTCGGCATGTCCAGCGGGGGCGCGGAGGACAGATCGCTATTGCCCCTCAGGGCCCGGACAGAATTGTGGAAGGTCCAGCTCACTCGCGCCTGTGGCACCTGAACAATACACAAACACAGAGCTCCTCCTCCTCCTCCCCCTCCTCCTCTTCCTCCTCCTCTTCCTCCTCATGGCATGGCGTAGCAGAGCGTGGCATAGTAGAGCACGCCGCAGCGGGCCGAGGATGAGGAGGAAGAAGGGGGAACGCGAGGGAAGAGCGAGGGTGATGTCCGACCGGGTCTTGCCCCTTCCCTCCTCTGCTCCATCTCCTCCTCCCTCTCCTCCCTCGTTGCTTCCTCCGCTCACTGCCGCTGCAGTTCATCCTCGCCATCATCGTCCGCCACGGCCCCTGCCTCCATCCCGCCCACTGTCTTCCCCCCTTTGCCCTTCTCCCATCATCTCTTCTCCTGCTAGTCGTGCTCTTCCTACTATCTCCTCTTACTTGAGCTGTTCTTCTCCTCCCCCTCCTAGTCCTCGGCCTTATCCTCCTCCTTCTCCTCCTTCTCTCATCCTCCCCCTGGGGAGGCGCCTTCACCGCGGTGTACGACATCTTCGAGTCGTCCAGGACGCCCTGCACTGTCTTGCGCATCTCCTTGTACTGTGAGCACTGCTTCACCTGGGGTCCGGAGGCAAGCGAGTGGAAGCGAGGCGGGGGGGTGGGGGGTGGTCACAGGGGCCAGTTTAGTGTAGCCTGGCCGCAACGGGGCCAGGCTGACAGAGCAGCTGCGGCGACTTCACCTGCTGCTCAGTCAGACTGGGCGGGCCGAGCAGCGACGGCGACTCCACCTGCTGCTCAGCTGACTGAGCAGCAGAGGAAGACCAGGATACCACAGAGTCATCTCCCATATCGGGAGGATACCCTTTGGCCAGCCGCGGAGGAGTGGATGAATGATCGGGGGGCGGGAGGAGGCGAGAGAGGGAGGGGGGGGGAGGGAGAGGGTGAGGTTAGCAAGGCAGGTAACTACAGGATGGGGGCGATGGGTGATGGGAAGAGACAGATGAGAAAAGGGAGGAGGTGGGGAGACGGAGAGGCGCAGGAGGCAGGCGCAGGCACGAGGGAAGCCGATCGCCTCAGCCAGCACGGCGGTGCCATCAACCTTCGACCCGGTTCTCCAGTCCGACTCCGTGATGGCCAACGTCACGTTCGTAGGTTGGTCCATGAGCATGGCGTGCGCCTGGTGCGCCGCGGTGACCTCCGACTCGTCCTTCTGGTCGAGGCTCGCGGCGTCGTCCTTGCCAGATGCCCTGACCTTCTTGCCCGAGCGCTTCGCCAACACGCTCTGGACGAAGCTGATGCTCTTCTTGAATTTCTTGTAGTTGGAGCCGACCCTGGTGAAATTCTTGACCTGTTCCTGAACCTGCTGCTTGCCAGCGCCAAAGTCGAAGTCGGAATCCGTCCGCGACGACTCGACAATGGCAGTCAAGGACGCGACCAGGGCTGCAGACTCCTTCTTCACATCACCCAGCTGGACGTTCACTTCTCCGAGCAAGGTGGAGCTCTCCGGGGTCAACTCGTCACCTTCGCCCATCGCGTCCCTGAAGGTCTGCTCGGACTGCTTCGCCTCCAGCTCCCCAGAGTCGACGAAGCTGGCCAGCTTGTCGGTAGCTTTCTTCACGAAGTCGGCGAAGGTGATCTTCGCGAGCGCAGGGTTCACAGCCTTTCCCTGCGGCTCGAAAGAGTCGGCTTCGAAATCCTCCCCCATCTCAACCTGCAGCAAGCTGGCCGAAGTCTCGGCGGTCGCCTGGAGGACAGACCCCACGATGTCTTCTGGGGCGGTGACTTTGGCATCATCCTTCGCAATATTCGCGACCCACCCCTCGGGCGCAGCAGCATCTGCACTGGGCAAGGTCGCATACTCCAGGGGGGCGGCGAGCCTGTCTGATAGGCGACGGGCGGCGGCCTCGGCAGTAGCTCCCACGCCTGCCCGCGCCTCGGCCATGGCGGCCTCGTTCGCGATGCTGGTGTGCTTCTTCACCTCTCGCGATGTCACGTGGTCATCTTGGTATCTACGTCCTGGACACCAGCGTACTCGCCGATGTGCCATTGATTCTTCAGCCACTTGCAGGTGTAGTTGGGGCCCTGGATGCGGCGGCGCCATTCCACCAATTGATCATGCGGTGTGGCGAAGCCCTCGCAGAACAGGTCCCGCTTGTAGACGCTGAACGGCTTCCACCAGTAGCGATCCTCGTTCCTGTGCCCCTGCGTCGTGGCCGACTCCACCTCGAGCTTGAGGTCGCCGGAGGTGTGGTCCTTATTCAAGTCGTAGTGTTGAAGGAACCACGCTTGTTGACTATTCTCAGCAACCTTGGGCTTGGCAGCCCACCACGATTTCAGCTTCGAATTATTCTGCCACCGGCGTGTGAGGCCCTTGTAACTTTTCGTGCATGTCACGCACGATAGGGCCGACTTGTTCCCCACCTTCCTGCGCTCTCTGGCCAGCTCGCACCTGGGCAGACATTGCCCGCGCGTGGTGCACTCGAACTCGCCCTGCAACATGTCAATGTCCCCGTCGTCGGCCATGTGCGTAGATATGTGCAGGTCAGCCGACGCAGAGCCGGGGGTCGCCGTGCCGCTCACGGGGGTCGCCGCGCCGCCCACGGGGGTCGCCGCGTCGCTCGTGGAAGAGACCTGCGCACCTGGGATCGGAGAAACACAATAAACACGGTGGAGGAGTTGGAAGGAGGAGAGGGACAAGGGGGAGCTTTCGGAGAAGGAGGAGGACGAGGATGAGAAGGAGGACTGAGGAGGGGGAGGAACAAAAAGAGCAGGAGGCCACGGCCACGACTCACGAGGAGCAGGGCTCAGCTAAAGGGTCAAGCGTCGGCAGACGGCAGAGCGCGCTTTGCTGCCCGAGAGCGCCTGCGGCACCTGGTGGATCCATCGCGGACTCCCCAGCCGGCGCAGGCGCGGCGGCGACGTCCGCCTCGGAGCCGAGCGGGTCGTCCTTCAGAGAGAGGAGGAAGAGGGATGAGAAGGGAGAGGAGGAGTGGGAGGCCGAAAGGGGCAGGAGGGGGGAGGGGGGAAATGGGGGCAGCAGCAGCAGGAGAGAGCAAGGAATCGGGGGGACATGAGATAGGAGTGTCGAGGGAGCGGTGGGAGCAGGAGGGAGGATAGCATGCAGGGCACGAGGAGGAGGAGGAGGGGGAGGAGGACGACGACGAGGAGGAGGAGGAGGGGGAGGAGGAGGAGGAGGAGGAGGAGGACGAGGAGGAGGAAGAGCGCCGAGGACAAGGGGAAGCACGGGGGGGGGGGAAGAGGAGGGAGGAAGGAGGGGGAGGAGGAGGAGGAGGAGGAGGAGGACGAGGAAGGAGGAAGAGCAGGGTCGATGAGACCGACGAGGGCCCCTGGAGATTTCTAAGACGGCCCGAGAGGTTCGAAACAAACAAACTAACCAGGTAGCCACGGGATCGGGTGAAGACATTCCGACAACAATTAACCGTATCATCCTTCTCGTGCTGGACCGGCGTCACAGGCGTCACCGCCGCGGGCGAAGCAGCAGCTGGCTCTGGCGGGGCCGGGGAATGAGGCGCCTCGGGGCTGCCGTCCGGGCAAGCCGCCTTCGACGGTCCAGCAGGCGACTTGGGCATCGCCCTGGCAAACATCTTGGGGACCGCGCCGCTGGACTTGAGCGCCGCGGCCGGGGGCTTCGTGTGCGCCGCGCTGGCCGACGAGCTCTTCGCCGCCGGGGGCGGCGCCAGCTGGGGCGTCGCCGGGGCGGGCGGGGCTGGCGGGGCCGGCTTAGCCGCCATGGCAGATGGCAGCAGCCCGAGACCTTCTCGGTCCGGCAATCGGATAGATCGCGCGCTTGGGGGCTATACGGCGATCTCTCCGAGCAACCCCCCAAGTTCGCCACCGTCGGAGGCGCGTCCCACCCCTGGGGCTTTCACCCTTGGCGACCCGCCCCTGACGAGAGAGGCGTTGACCAGGAAGACCCTCGGGGTGGCTGGGGGCGGGCGCCAGAACTGGCTGCAGAGCTGGATGGCGACACCGACAACGATGGAGATGCAGAGGGCGAGGAGGAGGGGGGACGCGGCGGATGCGGAGGACGAGGAATGGGGCGGCAAGGAGGAGGAGGGGCGGAGGAGCAGGAAGATAAGGAGGAGGAGGAAGAGGGCGAGAGAGGAGGACGACGAGGAAGTGGATGGAAACACCCACGCAGAAACCTGACTCGACATCACAGGTGACCCCGAAACTGCTGCCTACATAATTGCGAACTAAGTAATGTATCTAACGGATGGCGAAATAGATTAGCGAGTCAACCGATTTCAATCGGAATGATTTACCTGCCTGGGCGGGGCAGGGGCAGGGCGCCAGGGCGCCAACGGGCGTTCATTTTCAGACCAACGGATCTGCGAGCGAAATCTGAAACTTCAAACGGTTCCGAATTCAGATCCAGCCAGCAACGCTACTTCAGGTGGGAAGGGCTCGGCGAACTCGCCGACAGAACGAACGGCCCTGCTTCCCCCTCTCTCCTTCTACTCTAGCTCCTCCTTCCCCCATTCCTCCCGGCTCCTCCCGCACCTCCCCCATATATTGATATATCACGAGCACTCCCTCGATGCTGGGCGAGGGCAACCGACACTAGATGCACGAAGTACCTGGGCCCTACGCGCCCAGGCGAGGGCGCTTCAAAGGCCCCTCTCCCCCCTCAACGGCGAGCTCGGTGCCCGTCGTCGCGGGCAGGGGCGGCGGCTCCTCGATCGCCATCTCGACGCCCTGCAGCTTCGAAGACTGGCTGTCGCTGTTCTCCAGGGCGGGGCTGGCAGCCAGGATCTCATTCAGCTCCCGCTGCAGGTGTCCGCCGAAGACTCAGAATCGCTGTCGTGAACGAGCGCCGGAGGGGCACGCGGGGCTACCAGCGCGCCCTCGAACTTCACCATGATGCGCATGATCTCCGCCAAGACGCGCCCCACCACGTCCACGGCCATGGCGTTCCCGATAGCTTTCCGAGGCTTGCTCGTGCCAACGGAGAACATCCCAGACGAGACCTTCATGCCAGACGAGATGATCCGCTCGCTGATGTGCAACCACCTCCCGAAGCCTGACACGCAGTCGGGGGCCTCTCCGATGATCCAGAGAGCGCTGTTGGAGCCCGTGAAGCAGGGGGACTTGTTGTAGCAGATCTGCTTGGCGAAACTCTTCCCACATGGAGCGCGCGAAGTGTCCGCCACGGCAGCGACAAACTGGCGCGGGGAAAAAGAAACAAGAGGAGAAGGAGACAGAGAGAGAAAGAGAGAGAGAGAGAGAGAGAGAGAGAGAGAAAACAATAAGAAAGAAAGAAAGAAAGAAACAAAGCAATAAAGAAAGAGAGAGAGAGATAGATAGATAGAGAGAGAGAGAGAGAGAGAGAGAGAGAGAGAGAGAGAGAGAGAGAGAGAGAAGGACCACACAAAAAAAATGAGGAGGAGGCGCAAGAGGAGGAGGAGCAGCAGGAGGAAGAGGAGGAGGAGGAGGAGGAGGAGGAGGAGTTGGAGGAGGAGGAGGAGGAGGAGGAGGAGGAGGAGGTGGGGGAGTAGGTGGAGGAGGCGGAGGAGGAGGAGGAGGAGGACGAGGAGGAGCAGCAGTAGCCGAGAGCATTGGGGAGGACCGCTGGGGGCGGGAGGAGGGGGGGGGGGCGCAGGGGAGGAGCAGGATCGAGAGCAGGAGAAAGCGGAGGAGGACGAGACAAGGGGGAAGAGGGAAGACACTGTGGACGAGAAGGAGGAGGTCCCATTTGGATGCCCCTCTGACCTGTGGGTGCTTCTCCTTGACCTCGTTGAAGAGCTTCCAGTAGCCCTCAATGTTTGCCCTCTGCTTCTCGGTGAGGAGGATCGTCGGCGACTCGGTCTCCTCGGGGATGAACTTGCCCTTCATGTACTCGTGCAAGGCCGGCATCCGCGTCTCTGCTGGTCGGTCGGGGGGCAGGTCCGTGCGCGTCAGCTGCAGGGCGTGGGCCCTCACGCCAACGATGAAGAGCCTGGGCCTGTTCTGGGGGATCCCGTAAGATGTCGCCGACAGCTTGTAGACCTCGTGGCCGCGACAGGCACGATTAGGGAGGGGGCGGAGGAGGAGGGGGGGGGGACCTCCTCCTCCTCCTCCTCCTCCTCCTCCTCCTCCTCCTCCTCGGACCCCCCATCCTCCTCCTCCTCCCTGCATTTATTCAGGATCTACCTCAATCGCAATCGCTGCTGGAGTCCGACTCGGACCCCTTTCCCCCCTCGCTCGGCTCTTCGGGGCGAGGGCCGAGCCGCGCAGCAAGATGGCCAGGGGCCCTCGCGCGCCCATCGACGGGAAGCCCACTGAGGCCCCGCAACCCCCAAGACCCGTCGCCACTTAATGGCTCCTGAGGCAGGCTGAGGCTGAGGCTGAAGCTGAGGCAGGCCGAGGCCGAGGCTGGCTGAGGCCGAGGCAGGCTGAGGCTGAGGCCCGACGCGCAGTTGCGTTGGACATGCGAGGGCTTCAAAAGAGAGGTACTTGGCACGAGGTGGAGGAATAGCAGAAGGGGAGGGGGAAAAGGAACGGGGGATGGATGGGAGAGGGGTAGGGGGGAAGGAGCAGGGCAGGGAGGAGGGAGGGGGCTGAGTAAAGGGGCGGGGGGAAAGGAGGGAGGAGGAAGGAGGAGAGCAGGGAGGAATACCAAAGGACCAACGGAGCTCCCTCCCCCCGCCTGGATGCGGAAGGCGGGGGCGCCCTCGTGGAGCCGCTCGAGCAGCGAGTCGAGATAGGGCCTCCGGCCGTTCTGCGAGACGGTCCACCCCATGACGTTCTCAATGACAAACCACTGAAGGCACCCCTCATCGCTGAGCCGCTTGAGCTCCTCCGTGAGGCGCTTGGCGAGGTCGGCCCGCAAGTCGCCCTCGCCAGCCTTGACCCCGAGGGTGCTCCATGGGGGACACGGCGGGCCGCGCACCACGCCCTCGCAAGACTTCAAGTTATGATTCATGAAATCACTACGTGCGA